GTAGGTGGAACGCTTTTCCAGACCACTTTTTTTGCAATTATTGAGACAAGCACTTGAAATGCATAAATGGGCACTATTGCACTATTACAACCCCAGTAGGGGTGAGATGGGTCAAAAAATAATTTTCGCTGAAACTTCTCCTATGGGGGTTATCGAGGGTCCTGATCACGAATATGACATCATTTTTGGCGCTGGCGCCAAGTTGGCGCCATTTGGCGAATTACATATTTGTAATCAATGCCCCAAATAACCCATACCCACAAGTTTACAGCGAATTTGGTGGGAATCAGTCGTGGCGCCACTGGTTAGGCCTGATTTCCAAACAAAATAATTCATCAATTCGATTGCGGCCAGTGCCTTCAGAAGCAGCGATCGTGATCGCAGGAGGGTAGTGTTTTGATAACGTTATTGAAGGTCATTGCTTGAGTGCCGTCGAAAGGCCGTCTTGCCCATACCCATAGCGCGATAAGGGATATAGTCCACCAATGACTTTCAATGACGCCATTAAAACCATCCCGCCCTCAGCCATCTTGCTTACTACCTTCAAACCCATGAAAGCGTAACAAAGAAAATTGAAAAATTAAAGGTAAAAACATTCAGAGTACTCACTAAGATTGATGGAGGGCAAGAGATCAGTCAAGAATAAAATGCTGGATACCTCCACGGTACAAAAACACGCAAGAACCAGGGCATTGAGCAGCATAAGTTGACCGTGGAATTCTGGAAAAGAACTCTGAATCATAGAAAGTCCTTTACATTCCAAATAAATAACTTCCAAATTTGTAAAATGAGTTCCATCAAGAAAGGAAGTATATAAGAACAATGACACTCAGTTTGAAAAATACAAACAGTTTTGCCCGCTCCTCAGTTGGACCCTCTTTGTTTTGCCAATTCCAGGCTCGTGAGTGGCTGACAAGTCTAGCTGTACAGGACAGCAAGACTTTTGAGAACTCATTTTGCGTCCGCCTTTTCGGAGGACCAGGGAGGCCCCCACCTGATGTACAGTTTGCTTGTGTGTTAAGGGCATGGATGAAGTGAAAGTGCCCCGAGAGTTATGGAGAACACCCGTTTGGAGCAAAAACGTTTTGTTGGGTGGAGGTTCCGGCAACGAACGATGCTCGAAAGCTCAACAATGAATGATGCCTTTCAGCAAAGTAGAAACAAATATGTGGGAATGCCGCTCTAAGTACTGGCGCTTTAAAGATTAATATAAAAAATGAGCAGACGCAAAAGCGCAAAAAGATGACTAAAACATAGCCGCCGCTCTCGGCTGAGTACTGGGGTGCATGTTTATCAATCCGTTGATATCGACCTACAGATCATAAGGGAAACCCAAGATGAGGACAGGAGCTCTCCACCATGATGTTGGTCTTCACTCCAAAGTGTAACAGTAAACGTATGCAACGGATGTACTGATGGTGTCATTAGTTCCCGAGTTTAATTTAACTTTACCTTGAAAAATGAGTTATACGAAAAGTTTGATAGGATCACGTTTAGCAATCCCCATTTGTGACACGTGGTAGCACTGGAAGTGTACGATGAGTAGAGCTAACCATAAGATGTAAAATCTACTCGAATTCGGCTGTAGTCGGAAAGTACAAGAATGTGAAAGGGTGTATGCCCATGGGAGTGGCGTAGACCTATGCGTTCCTAGGCGAGAATCTACTTACCAACGAGACTAATACAGGCGAGCCGTATTAGTCTCTTTGGTAAGTAGATTCGCAAGCCAGGATCAACACTAACCAATACATCGCCTTCTGGAGAGGGGCAGGCGTAGAAGACCCTAATGTGTGGAAAGCCTGATAAAACATACCTCTAAAGATCACAGGCTGTTGGCAGGTGGCGCCACTTACCAAATGCATGATTTGGGATCAAATCCACCATCAAAGTGCGCCTGAGTTGAAAGCAGCGATTACGATGGGCTCCAGAAGGACTTCAGATTACACGTGGTGGTGCTCAATGGTAGCCAAGTAACTGCTTCGTGTGGTGCGTATGCTTCCCCGATGTGCTCTCTCATTATCGTAATCGCTTCCTTCATCAGAGGCTGTTTTTTGATTCGATTACTTCGTCCCAGAGTCGTCTGGAAAGTAAAATACTCTGACTTGTACACTAGTTGATCACCGCAATCTAAGCAGATCATACCGCTTAATGAGCCTGTTTTCAAGGGTTTTGCTATTGTGAATACTAAGAAAAAGTCAATAATTCGATCAGAGATTGGGTCGAAGATAGAAAAATGTTATCAATCATAGACCTCGAATGTCTACCTCAGCTGAATGAACGAAAAATCTCAGTCTTTGCGCCGTGGCAGATTACCGCTGAATGACATTATGCCAAGTGGGTGATTGAACGCGACCGAGAAATACCTCAGCACACCTTCCCGTTGTCATTTCAACACCTGGTAGTAGCAACAGCCGCTTTGGCACTCCTGTGAGAACCCAGCATCCATTAAGTCTCACAATAGCCCTAGGCATGCGCAACTCTTTCCTGTACGCTGCTGTTGTACAACTATCTTTAATTATCACCAAGGGCCAAGGTTTGTTCTCATTCATTACAGTATAATTCATTACCACGGTACACTAATAGAATGGTAAACTAGAAGCTTAGACTGGCACTTCTTAAAATTTTTCTTTTGTTTTAGATTCCGTCAACGATAATATTGGTTTCGATTGCAGTTATCATGAGGAATATCTGACGGCGTCCACGAAGAGTCCTTGGGCCAGCCACTGTGCCGTTATTACGGGCCTCATCAGAATTGGCTCGCGTTCGCATTTGACAGAACAACAACTTGAGAAATTATTCGAAAATATCACCACCGTGAAGGGAGGTATTTTAGTCGAAGGAACAAATTTGAGGCGTTTGAGTTTCCTCAAGAACGTCGTCAAGATCGTCACCTATCACACGACATGTGAGTCACGCACATTTCGTTCTCAAAGGCAAGCCCGGGATGAGACCACTGGAGTAATCCCTTAGGTGTGTAGAAAATAGACTTTTGCGAACGTCGCCAGCGATAACGGGCTAGGGTTTTACAAATGCTCTCCAGCGCACTCGTCGGCCGCTTCTCTGCTCCTCACCCGACCTCCAGGAAAGCTTAAACCTTTGATGCTAGGGTTTTCGAAGGCTTTTTTCTATTTCTTTCACTTTCACGCTCCATTTTGCTTCCTTTTCCAACCATCGTTGCTGACGCGCTACTATCCAAAGTTTTATTCCTTGAGACTTGCTCTCAAAAGCAGTGGTGAGACCTCGCGAAGTCGATCCGTTCAAAACAGGGTCAATCATCCAGTGATGGCTGATATCTTCTGTAAGCTCTCCACGAGGTTGTTAAGCAGACTTTTTGGCTTACGTTTCGGCGGGGTCGCCTTCTTCAGAGCCTGAAAGGATCGAAGCAATTTATGACTACCCGACCAAACGCCTCCGCTATCCTACTGAAATTCGAGAACAAAACAGGTCATCACGCAATACCAAGGTGGGCCACTTACCGTAACTTAGTCCGGTGCGAGACCACCCAGAAACCAGTAGTGGACACACAGCAGTCCGGACTAAACTTGAAACTTTGCATTTGGTCGGGTAGTCATAAATTGCTTCGATCCTTTCAGGCTCTGAAGAAGGCGACCCCGCCGAAACGTAAGCCAATAAAGTCTGCTTAACAACCTCGTGGAGAGCTTACAGAAGATATCAGCCATCAATATATCATGCCGAGGTTCTTGCAAAGCCGTACATTTCGATCCCAGTTGAAATGTATCCTAAATTGTATATCCCTCAGATGTCCTCGAGATTACCGATAATGCATTCCTTACGCAACTGAACCTCGACAAATTCAACTCATCTGATGGAATAGTACGAATTCAACGGAATCCTTTACTCAATATGAGCAGTTTATGCAATCGCTTGGATAAGATTCTCGATGGAAATTGGCAGGTGTCGAGAAACAAAGTGAATTGCGGCGGTAGGAATTTCGGAGTTACGCTTTCTGTAAGCTTTTATTTCTTGATGATGACATTTTTTGAAGTCTACAGTCTTTAAAGTTTAAGGCTACCATTTGGACTTTCCGCTAACATTCACGTCTATTTTGAATGTACCACCAAATTTGAACTGTTATTCAAGGAGACGTAATTCTGAAAGACACAGGTATGTTCTAAATACCATCCAATAGTGAAATGGAAAGCAGTTTCTCAGGGGTTCACATGGCCATGGCTCGTGATATCTTCTTAAAAGGAACTGGCCAACTATGCTCAAGATTTTCTCTGAACAGTTCGGTATTCTACAATAAATCCGTCGCGCGGCGACAAGGCAGAGACGCAGACGGATGAACGGACGTGTCGCAGCGCGTGCTGTAGCTATTCAGCCTGAAGTTTAAAGCAACAGTCCCAGCAGGGTGGGCGTGGTCGGAAACGGCTGCAATCCCTCGGCCGATTCCCACTTCGGAGCTGTTCAGCCCCTAGTCAAGAACGTAAGAAGTGTGACTGAACAAAAACTCACCTTGGAAAGCCGCTAGGGAGGGAGCTGAAGTGGGCGTGGTCGGAATCGGCCGAGGGGATTGCAGTCGTTTCCGACCACGCCCACCCTGCTGGGACTGTTGCTTTAATAGATGCTATAGCACATCCCACATCTTACAGTTCACGCTTCAACTCGTCCGCTGATCCGTCTGCGTCCCTGCTTCTTGCCGCATGACGAGCCTGCAATTGGCTACCGTACAATTTCTTCTCAGGGAATGCTGGGAGTGTCTCCCAGCATTCCTTCGATTACACCGAGTGCAGTTGCGCGACCGTTGCGAACATTAATCTGAAAAATTCAAGTTCATGTTCAATACAATCTTAAGGAATCCCACCAGAACGACTTGCCGTTCTTTCATCTGTGAAGAAAATCGCTGGATGTTTGATAATACAGCGCACAAACCTTGAAACTCTTTCATTCCTTGGAAATCTGGAGGAAATTAGTTGTCGAAGTAAGTTTTTACTAATGCAAATTCAGTAGGCGGCGCTTCAATTGATCTCTTTTGTTGCTGATCTGATTGGAGGGACATTCCGCGCGCCGAATCGGACAATTTTCTCCTGTAAATGCAACAGCAGGGTCCTCCGTGGCGTAGTAACGCCCCATTTGCTACGCAAACACAATGCAAGGGACGCTAGAGGCTCAGGACTGCTTCAGAGCAGGGTGAATAACGGTTAAAGAAATCTTCGACCAGCTCTGTGCTGTATGAGAACATTGTCTAGTGTGCTGTTGTCGCGGAGAGTACATGCGGCTCGCATGTGGCGAGAGTGAATGTCCGCGCGGGAGAGTGTGACTGAAAAGGCGACAATCACGACGAGTCGTCGACGAATCCTCGACCGTTTTTCACAATGATTTTCAGAGGCAAGTGACCACAATAAGTTTTGTTCTGAATAACGGTAGAATTGCCTGCCAAGAAATTGTGCAAGGAAGCAAGAACGTAGCGCCTTTTGCGAAGCGGTAGGCCTCACCTGCGTAGTGGCTGGCAGGCTTTCACCAACTTCTTCGACGCCTCACTACCCTTTGTAACGCTCTATTTGTCTGCACACCAGCCGCGTCTGGTTTTCTCCGTCGCAGCTATAGCCGTACTTAGGCAGAGCCGGCCAGGCAAGAACGTCTTTGACCTGACGAGCACATCGAGTTTGTGGCCTGAAAAGCGGACGATGAAGGGGAAGCAAGAGTCCTGATTCGGCAAAAGATTCGTGGCAGTTTCGCAGATCATGGCAGTTTCTTCACCCCTACTCATTATCACCTCTAACTTTCATCCCTATCGGCGGTAAGCATTAGGAGCCATCCGTGTTCAATGCATCTATGCATCGACGCCCGCCAGCTGGCTGTGTTGGTGTTTGCGTCTCGCTTGTCGTCTTATCCCCCCGTCTATGAGTCCACTCCCTTGCTCGACAAGTCTGTCTCCACTCATCTCGTGAGCTCTCAATGAAGCCCATGCTTTAGGTGCCTGTAGCGGTTCTACTTAATCATTAGTGGCTATCGTTCTTGGTAACGTCTTCGTCTCGCTACTGCTTCGCGGAATGCGCCCCAAATTTCGTATGGGGCTGTGATCTCCAAGCTCTGATAACCTTCTTTTGACTGATCTTTTATTTCAGGCAATAACGATCCCGCCATCAGTCTTTACATCAATAACTTACCTGAACTATCTTGGATTATCGAAGCTGACCAAAATCAGTACTATCGTGCCTATAGAAGCCATGGGCAATAGAATTCTGGAGATCACGTACGATGAAATTGAGGTGCTGGTGTCTACTGATGTGCCAACTATCCAGTTCAGCGGGATTTTTCCAACAGGTATGAATGCCTGGGATGGCAGCTCATGGGATTTGAATTGGCGAAGCTCACTGTGGAATGTTTCTTAGAAATGCGACGAATACCTTGTTCTAAACGAGACTCCCATGGAACTACCAAAATTGACGAAATAAGATCTTTGGTACTGTATTTTTTTCGAAGGCAGCAGTGGAGGAAGTGGGAAAGTTAGAAGAATTCTGCTACCGTACTGTACTCTGTGCTCGATAAATCTGTAAAAACGCTTCCCACAGGAAATTGAGGTCCACTTTGCAGATCCAGCCCATCGCGCACGTCACCGACCAGCCGGATAAACGAAATTCGTATTAAAGTATATGTTTTCAGACGATTTGCCGTGGGATATTTGCGTTTTCAATTCACTGACAGACGACTTGATCATGCTCAGTTTGAACTGCACGAGCCTAATTGGTCTCCTCTATTATGAAAATCGATCATTTTCGAGGTTGGAAGTGGAGATTCTGGGGAGGATGCGCAACATTTACGGCAATGTCGAGCTAGTGAATGTGAACATCACTGATTTGTCCATCTTCTCAGCTTTGGAGAGAATTATTTCGCTTAACGGTAAGTGTATTTGTTATTGGGAAAAGATGCTGCGAGTTGTTCACGTCAGTGAGCTTCTGTAGATGGCCGACAGAGCTTAAAGGCACCTCCCACGATAAAGCCAGTGTGGCTCTCAAACACGGAAACCAAAGCATTGATGCGTAGTATACCGGCAGTAAAGGAAAAGAAGAAAACGCAAGGGCATAATCTGATGTTTGATTCGATAGCGCTAATACAAAGAGAGACTGAACGTTGTGGAGAGAGAATAGGCGAGAGAGCATAACGGACGAGAGGGCGCCAGACAACAGCATAATGTGAGGGAGCAAAAATGGCAGTAGTCGAAGCGGTCTTTGCACGAGACCCAGCGCTCTTGTGTGTCAACTTCTTTGTTCTCGTTTTGAACACTCATTTCTTTTGAAAATGTGGTCTAGGGCCAACTGGCTCTGCGTCAAACCACGAGAATTGTTCGTTCTCGAATCGCGGATCGGCTAAATCGTTCAAGCCTTCTATGCGCGCAGATTCGATTTTATCAGTCGTTTGGTTGTTAAAGCATTGGCTGGCAAAGTTGAGGCTCAGCTTTACAGCGTAGGCCAAATTACATTGCAATATCACCACGATTCTGAGTGTACTCGAATGCATGGCGCATCTCGAATGGATTGATCAGTATTGCTCACTTCGCTTACCATTTTTAAGCCTGACCCTCTGAGTGTTGAACAACGAATAAAGGGGGTCGCAGCACTCATGTAGCTGATTTTGAAACATTTTGCCTATACCTCTCCTATCACAAAAATTATCTCTTCCTCCAGAAGTCTTCTCGACTCTCTTAAGGTCCAGTCGTTCTTCCGTGAGGACCTTTTCGGTGTATTGATTTCGTTATTGGAATCTGGTAAAGGCATGCCCAGGATCAAAGGTGGCGGTTTTCGCACACAAATATGAAGGTATTGTTGCAAAATGGGCCGGCAGTAAAGAAAAAAGGAAAAGAATTTGTCTCACCTTCGTAGTGTGGCTGAGCTAAGGCAAAATATGAATTATCGGTATAATAATAAAAATATATATATGCACTACGCGTCTCTGAAATGGCTGGGATCCGAAGCCGCTCAGGATTTCGGAAGCTGTAGAGGTCTCTTTTGGGAGGACCTGAGAGAAACTTGAAG